AGAACTGCCACCCAGGGGCGTCGGGGGGGAACCCTAGGAAGACGCAGGGAGCAGCACGAGGGGACAGCTTGACCGCAGACAAGTCGCGGACAAACGTCCGAGATCCCCAGACCCGGAACGCTGACACATCGCCAACCTTCCCCGTCCACAGCAGGGCTGGGGAGGTCTCCGGCCTGGAGACTCTCGGGTGAAGGTTGATCTGGTGCGCCGCGTACCTCACCGCAAACGGCCACAGAAAATGGGGGCAGCCGCATGCATCATAGACGTACGAGCGACGTCCATGACCATGCCAATGCGGCGCTCTGCAATCCCATTTTGCTGCGGTGAGTCCGAAAGCGTGAAGGTCTGACGGATGCCTCGTGCACGACAGTAGGCTCGCAGAAGGCCAGAGGAGAACTCTCCGCCTCTGTCCGAGTGCAGACGCAGAACAGGAAAGTCCGAGCCAAAGCTCTGCCTGAGCTGGAGATGAGCTGCGCGGATCCAGTCGATCAGCACCTCAGTGACATCACCCTTGCTGCGCAAGGGGAAGACTGTGGTGTAACGTGAGTAGTCGTCAACAACAAGCAGGAAGTAGCGCTCGTGACACTGTCCACGGACGCGGGCGGGGCCCCACACGTCCATGTGAAGCGTCTACAACAGGGCCTCACTCGGAGGAAGCTGGGAGGAGTGAGGGGCAGCACGCTGGCGCCCCTCGACACAGGGGACACAGGAAGGGCCAGGGCCCTGTGGAAGGGGAGGGAGGGACCGGGGGAGACCAGACACAAGAAGACGGGAGGCCATGCCTCTGAGTCGAAGCAGAGAGGGGTGACCAAGGCGGTGGTGCCAGAGGAGAGTCTCGTGAGACAGGAGACGACACGAACAGGGGGCAGACTCAGGACCAGACCTGGACGCTGCAGCAAACACCTGACCAGACGCAGGGACCCTACCAGACTCAGTAACTGGGGGGGACGCAGTGGTCAGTGTGTACAGGCTCGACCCTGGCTGACGGGTAAACGTAGCCAGGTGTCGACCTGTGCTAGCCTCTGTGCAGTGCGTCACCCGCTGACGAGCAGGGGTGAACTGGTAGACTCCCGCATCCTGTAGGTCAGCACCACTCACCAAACTCGTAGAGAACGAGGGGCTCCTACAGCGACGATGCTCTTCTCCGGCGCTAGGAGGGCCTTCTCTAGGCTGTCGACTGTGAGAGTGGTGGGACAGACTGCAAGGAAGTGGTCCCAGACTACACGAAGGGAGTCGGGGAGGCGGGTGACTAGAAAGTAGAGAGTGATGTACATGGGGGGGGGGGGGGTTCTTGGCGCAGAAGTCAGCAGGAAGCGCAGCGCGGTTGCGGGTGTCACTAGTGCGGAGGTGCGTAATGAGATCAGCGACTGTGGGAAAGGCGGCAAGGTCAGGGAAGAGGAAGGGTAGCATGAGGCGGCTTAGTGCAGCAGTGGGAGGGGAGGAGTAGCGCGCAACTACAGCGTCGTACAAGGTCTGAGCACTCTTGTACTGACTAAAGTGCGCACGCTCAGAGGTAGGGAGGTGGCGACGCACAGCAAGACGTGCAGCAGCATCGCGCGTAGCCCACTGGGAGCGAACAGTAGGGTCAGCATCAGCAGCAGGGGCAGGGGAAGCGCCAGAGGTAAGGTCAAAGAGAGAGAGGCCGTCTGCTCTATCGCACTGTAACAGCTGGAGGTCATCTACCCAGACCTCAAAGTCAATGGCCCGACCCTCAGCGTCAAAAGCAAGGACACTGGGGGTAGTCATAACGACAGACGCCTAGCAGTGCAAGCAGTAGGGTGAGGGCAGTGCAGTGAAAAAGAAGGCTCTGTGCTCACCAGACTGGGCAGAACAGGCGGTCTGAAAGTAGGGCAGCTCAGCAGCCGGCGGCTCGGCTGCTGGGCGGCTCGGCTGCTCAGCGGCTCGGCTGCTGGGCGGCTCGGCTGCTGGGCGGCTCGGCGGCTCGGCTGCTCGGCTGCTGGGCGGGTCGGCGGCTCGGCGGCTCAGCTGCTGGGCGGCTCGGCTGCTGGGCGGCTCGGCTGCTGGGCGGCTCGGCGGCTCGGCGGTCGGCTGCTGGGCGGCTCGGCGGCTCAGCGGCTGGGCGATCCGGCGGTTGGGCGGCTCTGGTCCAGGGCGGCGCGGCGGTCGTAGGTAGGGCGGCGGGTGGGCCGCAGGTAGGGCGGCAGGCGTGCCGCAGGTAGGGCATCAGGCGGGCCGCTGAGTAGGGCGACGGGGCCGTGACGTAGTACGGCGGGGCCGTCGAGAAGGGCGGCGGGGCCGCAACGAAGGGCGGCGGGGCCGTCGAAGTAGGGCGGCGGGGGGGGGGGGGGCGCGACGTAGGGCGGCGGGGCCGTCGAAGGGTAGGGCGGCGGGGCCGCGACGTAGGGAAGGGCGGTAGGGCCGCGACGTAGGGCGGCAGGGCCGTCGAAGTAGGGCGGCGGGGCCGCAACGTAGGGCGGCGGGGCCGTCGAAGTAGGGCGGCGGGGCCGCGACGTTGGGTAGGGCGGCGGGGCCGCGACGTAGGGCGGCGAGGCCGCAGGAGTAGGGCGGCGGGGCGGCGACCGACAAGGCGGCGCGACGGGCCCCTAGGGGGGGGGGGGGGGGGGGGGGGGGACACGACGGGTCGCTAAAAAAAAAAGGAACGCGCGCCTCGGGGCGCGCTTCGGTGGGCTCAAGAAACAGTCCCTAGGAGGGGACCTGCTCTGATTCCATGTGAGAATGAAATGACTATGAATGAAGTGAGTACATCTAGGAAACCCTAATTGGGTTGTACCCCCTATGGGATACCCCACTATAGCCTACACAAATAAGCAAGCTATAATGTTCTGACAACCACCTCAACGTCAATCTCCAGTGTGTCTGTCGCAAATAGATCATGACTCAGGCGAAGGGAAGCTGGAGATTGCGCCAAAGTTCGACGGGAGCGACTATTGGACTTGGAGCTTCCGAATCGAACAATGGGCAGAGGCGCACGATCTATGGGGGTACTTTGATGGTTCGGAGGAGCGGCCTGCATCGGGTGACGCACAGCTGAAGTGGGAGAGGAAAAATCAGAAGGCATTCGCTCAATTATGCAATGCCTTGGTGCCAGATGAGTTAATTCGCTTGGTACGGGAGTTCGTCAGCAAGACCGAGTTGGGCAGCGCACCTGTTGATGGCGGAGCAAGAGCGGTCACCCGAATTCCTGCAGGCACAGGAGCGGCATACATACGAGTGAAGGAGTTCTACCTTCAGCGTGGATTGTGTAACCGGATGGCACTCTCTGTGGAGCTCTCTTCATTGAAGATGAAAGAAGGGGAGGGGGTGGCTGCATACTGGGCGCGTGCCGAGGACTTGAGGTCCAAGTACTTGGCTGCAGGAGGAAAGGAGGAGGTTGAGGAGTGGATGATGATGGTACTCAAAGGACTACCTCCTCACTTTGAGATGTTGAAGGTGGTATTGAACAACCAATCATCATCGCTCACTAAGGATCAGCTGCTTACCTCGTTGAGGAGCGAGGAGATGTGGATTGGTGTCGCACCAAGATCGGATGGTGTAGCCACTTTTGGAGCGGGTACGAAAGTGGGCAGCAGCGGCAGGGGAAACTGGGACAAGGGAGGAAAGCAAGGAGGCAGCAGTAGCAGCAGCGGCACCAACTCGGGCAGATGGGGTCAGGGGAAAGGCAAAGCAAGAGTGTTTGATTTCCCTTGGGGGTCCAAGGGCATGGCTCCTAAGGGGTTGTGTCATGGCTGTTGGGATAAGGGACATGCATGGCAGCGATGTCCTCACCGACATAAAGGAGGAATTCCGGCATTCTTACAGAGGGGGGGTCGTGGGTCCAACGGCAAGGCACAAGTGGCGGATGAGGAGGAGTAGGATGGCAAGGCAGAGGCAGTAGTTGGAGAGGCAGTTGAAGCAGTGGGAGAGGAGCAGCCGCGAGAGGGGTGGTGGATTGACAGTGGGGCCAACCACAACTTTACTCCTTATGCATCGGACTTCAAAAGTAAGCTTCAGCCACCAAAGGTTCGGGGGGTTAGATTGGGAGATGGACGGGTGGTGAAAGCTGTTGGAATGGGTGAGGTGCCAGTGGTTGGTGCTGGAGGTCAGCTGCTGAGGATTCAAAAGGTCCACCTTGTGACTGAGATGCACACACGTCTGCTGTCAGTCCCACACCTCACCACTCGAGATGTCATTGTCACATTCAAGGGCAAGAAATGTGTTCTTAAACGGGGGGAGAGGGTGTTGGCGATTGGAGAAAAGGAGAGGGGCAGGGACCATGGATTGGTGCGGATGTCTCTTCCTCTTGCTCGGGGCACACAAGGCAGTGCTCTTGCAGCTAGGTCCTCCTCCTCATTTTCCCCATTGACCTGCTCATCGCCGCCTTGGTCACACTGTCCCCACAACCTTGCAACAGATGGCTCGGGGGAACAGTGTACTGGGCTTGGAGATCGGGGGGGGGGGGGGGGGGGGGGGGGGGGGGGGGGCCTGATTGCTCCCCATGTGAGCCTTGCTTATTGGGAAAGTCAGCTCGGAAGCCGTTTCCCCACGAGGCGTCTCAGGCACTTGGGCCTTTGGATGAGGTCCACATGGATTTGTGGGGGCCAGTGCGCACATCGTCACTTGGAGGAGCGGTGTATGTCCTTAGTCTCATTGACGACTTCACCAGACGAGTTTGGTCGTTCCCACTCCCCAACAAGGAATCGGCCACAGTCGCAAAAGTCCTTCGCCAGTGGCATAAGGACGTGGAGTTGGAGTGTGGGCGGAAGCTGAAGGCTGTTCGCTCTGACAGGGGTGGCGGGTTCTTGGGGGACACTGTGAAAGCATGGAAAGGGGAGTTTGGCATCCAAACTCAATTGAGTGTCGTAGATACACCGCAGCAGAATGGGGTCATGGAGAGGTGGCACAGGACGATGGCAGAGGGGATTCGCACATTGTTGGTCGACAGTGGTCTCCCTGCTCGCTTGTGGGGTGAAGCATTGATGTGGGTCGTGTGGGTTAAGAACAGGGTCACCCATAGTACTTTGCCTGCCTCCATCACACCAATGGAGGCATGGTCCGGCCAGAAGCCGCATGTGGGCATGGCTCGGATTTGGGGTTGCATGGGGAGTGTCATGCTGCATGGGCATGAGAAGGGTGGCAAGCTTGATGCACGGGCTGTCATGTGTGTCTGTGTTGGGGTGGACATGGAGAGCAAGGGTTGGCGCATGCTGGACCCTTCTCTCATGCGCATTCGCATTGCTCGCGATGTTGATTTTCTTGAGAATGTGATGTGGAAGGATTGGGACAAGGCAAAGGGATTTGGGGAGCTTCTGCAGGATGCAGCTGCGATTTCCCAACTCCTCCCTCTTCCAATCTCGCCACCCTCAGCAACGGCTGACAACGTTGAGATGCCACTTTTATCACTGCCACCGGCACCGTTGAGTGTGTCGGTGCAGCAGCAGCCCACCCCTCTGCGATAGCTCAGTGGCCCCTCGGTCATTCAGCGGAGATCCGCTACACAGGCTACTTTCTCTTCCTCCGCTCTATCCCTCTCTCTACGGGTGCCCCTCCGTCACCAGCGACTACCTTCCCACCGCCGGTTACGGGTTTGCAGGTGCTTGGTATCCAGTCTGGTACAGGTGGTGAGGAGGTAGGGGGGGATGCTGGTGTGGTTGTGGGCATGCTGTGTTTGGCCAGGGAGGTGGAAGGTGTTGCACTGGCAGGTGTGAGCACAGGTGATGTCCCACGCACACTCGCTGAGGCCCTGCGTGGCCCTGAGGGCCCTGCGTGGAAGGCAGGGGCTGAGAAGGAGGTAAATGCAATGCGCACTATGGGTGTATGGGGTCCAGAGCCAGTCGACTTACCTCTAGATAAGAAGGCCATTGGGGTCCGGTACGTTTTCCGCAGGAAAACTGACAAGGAGGATAAGGTGGTACAGCACAAGGTTTGCCTTGTTGCTAAGGGGTACACTCAGGAGCCTGAGAAGGACTATGATTAGGTATTTGCCCCTGTGGGCAAGCTCACCTCAGGTCGGGTGCTTCTTGCAGAAGCCGCGGTTAAAAGGGTGGCATGTACAACAGGAGGATGTTGATCATGCTTACCTCAATGCACTCTTTCAAGAGGAGTTGTATGTGAGGCAACCTGAGGGATTTGTTGATGGTACAGGTAGGGTGTATCGCTTGTGCAAAGCTCTCTATGGGCTCAAGCAAGCGTCTCGTGCTTGGAATGAGGAGATTGGTACCACCCTGATTGCAGCAGGGTTTGACCGCAGTGCATGTGATGAGGCTCTGTACATCAGGTTTGTGGATGAAGAGCCAGTGTATGCATTGGTGTATGTGGATGACCTCTTGCTTGTGTCTCCACGCTTAGAGCTGATCGGTCAGGTCAAGGAGGTGCTTGCTCAGAGGTACTAGATGAAGGATCTAGGTGAGGTATCCACGTACCTTGGTGTGGAGGTTCGCAGGTCGGTCAAGGATGGGTGGTTGGAGATTGGTCATGAGACGTATGTCCGTGGTCTCCAGGGAAGGTTTGGTGATCTGCTGAAGGAGACCCATAGGGTGCATACTCCAATGTCACCCAATAATCTCTCTAAGATCAGGAATGGTACTTGGTCGGCTGAGGAAGGTGTTGCAGCTGATGTCAAGGTGTACCAGAGTCTCATTGGTAGCTTGATGTATGCTGCTGTGACCAACCGTCCTGACATGTCTTTCACTGTAAACACTCTTGCACAGTCATGCGTGGCACTAAGACGCATTCACATGCGCACTGCACTGAGAGCACTCAGATACTTGGTCGACACAGCTGATTGTGTCATCAGGTATGAGCGCCAAGGTGGTGAGCAGGTTGTTGGGTACACAGACTCGGATTGGGGTGGTGAGACTGATGGCAAGAGTCGCTCTGCCTACATCTTTAAGCTGGGAGGAGGAGCCATCAGCTGGTATAGCAAAAAGCAAGACAGTGTTGCAGCAAGCGTTTCTGAAGCTGAGTACAAAGCTCTATCGGAGGGGGCCAAGGAGGCCATTTGGTTGAGGAGTTTGTTGGCAGAGATGCATGTGGGGGATGGGGGGGGCTATTCCATTGCTCTATGATAATGAGGCTGCTGTCTCCCTTGCCCAGAATCCCGTTCTCCATCAGCGCACTAAGCACATTAAGGTGGCATGGCACTTTGTACGGGATGTGGTGCGCCAGCAGGAGGTCGAGGTGCACTCAGTACGCTCCCACCTCCAGGATGCCGACATGCTCACCAAAGCTCTTCCAAGCTTGCAGCTGCATGAGAACCTGGAGCGCATCGGCATGCGAGTGATGGCTGCGAAGACCAAGGCTTCATTCGCTGGAGGGGTTGTGTTTTGATTTATGGGTGAACTTGAATGCTTGGAGCAAGGGGGGGTGTTGGAATTAAGGTTAATTCGGGTTGCTCCAATAAGCATATGTAGTGATACATGTACACTATAGTAGTGTAGAATACATTGGTTGGGTTGGGAGAACTTGTGGTGTACACTCTATAGAGTGGACCTCCTCCCAAACCCTATAGGTTAGGGTTCTCTCTTGTTGGAACTTCACTTCTTGGAAACCACTTTGGTTCTAGCATGGTTCATGCCCAAGTGGGCTCCTAAGATTCCTAAGTTTTAAGAGGAGGTTCTAAGACTACTAAAGCTTCCGCTAGTAGCTTAGTCCATTCTAATAAGGGGGGTGTTTTATCCAGGAGAATACGGTAGGCCAAAACGAATCAGAGGCAAGGACAATCAACGTTCTTAAAAGTGAATCTGTGGGCCTGGCAGAATGCAATAATGCGGAAGTGATTACAACGTCTGAGCAAATAATGAGGCCTAGCACAAATATAGCAGAGCTAGCTAGGCGACGGTTGCGGAGTCGCGAGATGGTTGAGTGCAGGTTCAAGTTGGGAAGCCCGAAAGCAACGTGATGGTGGTTCGGAAGGCGAGGTCATCCGACCGAGCCTGTTCTGCAAAAACTGGAGTTGTACGCGTACAGTGTGACTCTGTAAGGAATCATGGAAACTACCTGAATTGATTACTGTAACAGAAACGATGGTCGTTCGTATGACTTCTATCGTATATTGCCACGCTTAACAACACAAGTGATCCGCTCATTTCGTCATGCAGCCAACTTGAGGGTGCCTGCCAGCTTCACGAGCGAGGGCCCTTTGCCCCAGGGAGCAAATCTCCCAGCCAGCGCCGCCACACGCACTGCACCAAGCTTGAGGGCCCTCGCTGCTGCTACCTCATCTGCACATGCGGCGAGTGCAGGCGGCGTGGCAGGCAGTGCGAAGAGCACGCGGTTGATGTCTCCATCCACGTCCACCTCGTACACCGCTGCGAACACCTGCGCACCACGCGCATGGTCGGGGGGGGGAGTGGCACGAGTGGGGGGGAGGCGTGAGGCGAGGGTGTGTGAGGGAGGGGAGGGAGGGAGGGAGGGTGGGGAGGAAGGGGAAGGAGGGGAGGGAGGGGGCGGTGGTTGGGAGTGGGGGGAGTGAGGCGAGTGGGTGAATGGGGAGAGGCAAATGCGGGGAGTGAGGCGAGTGGGGCGAGAGCAGAAGACCCACCTGTCGCACAGCAGCTACAGCCGCCTTGTACTTGCTGCTTGCCCGCGCAACCACGTTCAGCACAAGCATCCCTCCCTCATTCAGGGCAGCTCGGGCAGACTGAAGAAAATGCGGCTCCAAGAAGACTTGCGCCGGGCAGCTCATTCCCGTGCTGAAGGGGGGAGGGGAAGGGACGGGGGAAGCGGTGTGGAAAGGAGTGGATCCAGGTCAATGTGAGGACACACGAGCATGAGAGAGGCAGGATAATGAGAGGCAGAATAAGCAGGACACAGAAGTGTCATGAGTGAAGAGTTGGCGACACATGTGGCGTAGTGGAGCAACGGGGTAGTACCAAGGCAACGGGGTAGTACCAAGGCAACGGGGTAGTACCAAGGCAACGGGGTAGTACCAAGGCAACGGGGTAGTACCAAGGCAACGGGGTAGTACCAAGGCAACGGGGTAGTACCAAGGCAACGTGGTAGTACCAAGGCAACGGGGTAGTACCAAGGCAACGGGGTAGTACCAAGGCAACGGGGTAGTACCAAGGCAACGGGGTAGTACCAAGGCAACGGGGTAGTACCAAGGCAACGGGGTAGTACCAAGGCAACGGGGTAGTACCAAGGCAACGGGGTAGTACCAAGGCAACGGGGTAGTACCAAGGCAACGGGGTAGTACCAAGGCAACGGGGTAGTACCAAGGCAACGGGGTAGTACCAAGGCAACGGGGTAGTACCAAGGCAACGTGGGCAACACGGGTGGACGAAGACATGCGTGAGCAAGGAGACAGGCACAAGCAAGGAAGACGGGAGGAGGATGTGCGGGAAGAGTGGTGCAAGCGAGGGTGACCTGGGGTCATCGGAGTCAGCATCCACGAATATCACGTCCACCCCCGCTCCCCCTTGCCTTCCTCTGCCGCACTCAGAACTGCCTGATAGGGCCAGAGCTGCTGTGGCGCGCTGCACTGCCGCTACCGTGTGCTCCACCAGTGCCTCTTGATGCGCCCCTTGGGTGCCGCGGGGCGCTGCCATGGAGTGCACGAGCGCCACACCGTCCCCAATGTGCAACTGCCATGCACGCACGGCGCCATGCTCCGGGGGAGAGGGTGAACGGCTGGCGGAAACGAATGCTTTCAAGGCAGCAAGCGAGGGAACAAAAGCGAGGTGTGGAAGATGATTCCAGCAAGCGCAAGGAGCACTCACTCGCAGCACGGAGTCTTGTGTGAATCCAAAGTGGTCGCTGGCAACTTGCCCCATGACCGCATCCAGCTCCGCCACCTGCCACCCATGCACACGCACATGAGCCACCACATGGCACCCTCGCCCGTTGCTATGCATGCGGCACTGAGGAGTGGGAGAGAAAGACTAACAGGAATGAAGGGCTTGTCGCGGATAAGGGGTGTCCTGTGGCGAACAATGGGGTGGTGGGGTGGCGTCATAGTGTGCAAACAAGCCACACGAGCTTCCCAGGGGCATGGCCAACATGGACATGTGGGGTGTAAGGCATGGTGCGAGTAGGTGAGACGTACGGTGATACGTGTGAAGGGGAAGTGCTGGCGCAGGAACATGGGCAGAGCTCCTCCTCCCAGCCCTATCACGGCTGCTGTCAGCTGCAAGGGGAGAATTAGGAAAGCAGTTTGCAGGAAAGCCAAGTATATTGGCAGGTGAGGATTGTTGGGCGGCATTCACTTGAAGAGTTTTCCCCGCCACAAAATGGAGGGCAGGTGTAGTGGCAGTGGCGGTGTGGTGTGCTGACCTGGGCGGTGGTGCTCTCCCTGGCCTCCATGAGCGGCGCCACGAGGCTGAGCCCGGCGAGCATGGCGCCGTGGTACTCACTCGCCAGCTGCCCGTGATCCACCACCCACTCCACCGCTGCACTCCTCCCCGCCTCCTCTGCCGCCTGCTGCTTCCGACCGGCCTTTGTCGCTGCTTTCTTGCTCTTCTTACTTGCACCCGCTGCCGAATCTGCTGCTGCTGCTGCTGCCTTCCCTTGCTTCTGCTTTCCTCCCGCCGCACCTTTCTTCTCACCCGCCTTGGCTATTCCATCAGACGCCCCACCCCCTGCACTGCCGCGCGGCTCCTCTTGCGGGGCAGCAGGGGCGGGGGGCGGGGCGGGGACGAGCAGGGCCTCGGACTGCACGAGGTTGGGGTTGCGGCGGAAGACGAGGCGGCGAGTGCAGAGGGGGGGCGAGCGCACGTCGTCCAGCACCACCATGGCGCCCGTCGTCGCTGACACCACCTGCCAGTGTTGTCACCGGCAGTGTGCCGTGACATGGGGGTGCCATGGCAAGTGTAACAACACAAGGTTATCGGTAGTCCTGATGTAAGGTGCGTGTGGATGCCTTGTGTCAGCGATTGTGTGACTCATGGCTCACAAGCCGTTGTAAGAACACAAGCTTACAAGCCGCCAAGTTACATGCATGCACATGGAATGGTAGGTGGCAGGGCGGAGCGACAATAGACACGGCGAGCGCGCACAGGAGGATGAGAGAGAGCAGAGAGTGGCAGTGAGGCAGCACGCACCTCAGCGCGCACAGTGCCGGTGACGGCAGCCGTCTCCGTGGTGATGTACCTGGTGGCACGCACGCAGGGGGGCAGTGCCGTGCAGCACAGCACACGACATGTGTGTTCAGTGCACACACGCATGTGCGCAGCATGCAGGTGCAGCAGCGGCCGCCATGCAGGGCAAGCAATAAAGCATGCAGCAAGTATGGACCGCGACCCATAGGCACATGCAGCAAGGGGGCTCAAAAGCTGGCATGGCAGAGGGCAGGCGGTGGGGGGGGCAGCACTGACGGGATGGCGTAGCGGGTCTTCCTGCAGTACTCTGGCGCCAGCTGCCGCACCAGCGGTGACAGCTCCTCCTGCCCCCACCCGAGGCAGCGCACGGTCATCACAAGAGGCAGCGCGTCACACGGGCATGGTCAGATCGCGGGACGGAAATTGCTTCCCAGCGCGCACAAGTGTTGAAACGGAGTGAGGCTCCTGAAAGAGCGCAGTGACTAACCTGTACTTGCGCCATGGTCAATGGCAGCTGCCCCGCCTGCTCGTTCTGCTGCACCTGTTGCCATCGCACATAGAGCACGCATGGCAGGGACATGAGGACACGGGTGAAACATGAGGAGCAGCAAACAACCGATGAATTACAGTGCATGAGCACATGCACACACACTGCCCAAATGCCCAGCAAGCATTGAAAGAGGAGGAGCAGGCGGGTGTTACCAGAATGAGGCGCTGCGCATTGGCTGATTCCACCAGCTGCCACTGCCCCTCCTCCGATGCATACAGCCAATCGCGGTTCATGCCCTGGTGCACGCACAAGAGGGGGAGTTGATGCACACACATGGAAGCGTTGATAGTGTGGCAAGGACACCAAGTGCCATGTGCCAAGTGCCAAGTGCCAAGTGCTATGTGCCATGTGCTATGTGCCATGTGCCATGTGCCATGTGCTATGTGCCATGTGCCATGTGCCATGTGCCATGTGCCAAGTGCCAAGTGCCAAGTGCTATGTGCCATGTGCTATGTGCCATGTGCCATGTGCCATGTGCTATGCGCCATGTGCTATGTGCCATGTGCCATGTGCCAAGTGCCATGTGCCATGTGCCATGTGCCATGTGCTGTGAGTTGAGAGTGGCGATTGAAGTGCGTAATTGGAGTGGTACGCAGCCTGCATATGTGTGTGGGCATGAGCACGGGCGAGGCCAGGCCTGGCTTGGCAAAAGACCCGGCCCTCAGCCATACAACCATATGTGGGCGTGGGTGGGGCCGGCCCCAGCCCAAGGTGCGCACCCAAGGACGGCCGCGCGAGCTCATAGGAGAGGGGAAAACTGACGACCGCAAGGGGGTCGCACGCTGCTGAAGCATTTTTTCGCTTACTTGCTGCTACAAACGACTCAGCTGCAGGGCCATTGGACCGCCGCTGGGGCTGCCCGAGCCGGGCCAACATATTAAAAAAAGCCGGCCCGTACCACTCATCCTTAATTTAGGCTGGCCTAGACCGGGCTGGCCCTCGGGCTGACTCGTGCTGCTCATACGTGGGGCTCATGCACTCCACTCCACTCACGCTGCCACCATCCAACACACATCAGCCCACCCCGCCACCGTTTCCCCATTCAATCATGCTGCATACCCCCGTCAGCCCTTGTGCAGCATGAGGCAAGCGGCAATGTGATGTGGCATGCAGCAGTGCCAGTCACCTGGGGCACGAGGAAGACCGCACAGGGCAGGGAGGCGCCATCCAGCATGGCGGGCGTGGCGTCCAGCACCACACCCAAGAACGCACTGGCAGCAGCACGTGAGTCCGTGGCAGGGGAGGAAGAGCCATCATCCGGCGCTGGAGCCATCACAACGACCTCCCCACATTCCTCTCCCTGCGCCGCTGCTGCCGCCCCTGGCACATGCGGGGTGAGGCGGCACAGCACACGCCTGCCCGCACTGTACGCTGCCAGCGCTGCCAGGGACGGCGGTGCGGCACCTGCATCCGCGCTGCTGCTCGCATCCACAGCGCGCGCAGGGAGTGGCGGCGCCATGCAGGGCGCGGAGCGGATTTGATTTTCTCGGTCCACGAGGGTGAAGATGTCCGCCAGCTGCTCGGGGTGGATGCCGCTGTGAGCCACGCGCGCGAACGTCGTCGCCACTAGCGGTAGCAGCGGTGCCGCGGGTGATGGAGCGGAGGAAAAAGAGGGGGAGAGCGGAGCGGTGTTGGTGGCGACGACGAGGAAGGGGCGCAGGGGCGAGGGGGCGGTGTGCAGGGCGATGGGCACGGCATGGATGACCACCGTCCATGTGGCGGCTCGGAAGTGACGCAGCAGCAGCTCTGTGCACGGAGGACGGGAACACACGCACGACAGAGGCACGAGGGGGAGGATGAGGGGAGGGCGAGGCAGCTGTTACGTTAAACGGGGTGGATGAGCAACTGGGTGCGGACGGGGGGTATATGGGTGCTGCATGTGCGTGGGAGGATGCAGTGTTACGCCTGCATGCGTGCGGGCGGGGGGGCTCATGCACTCCATTCCACTCACACTGCCGCCATTCACCCCACACCACCCCACTCAGCCGACCACCACCAATTTCCCCACCTCCCACGCAAAACCCCTCTCGTTTCCCCGCCCCCCTCCCCCCAGCGCACCCAGCACGTGGCTCTGGGCGAGTGTGACGCAGAGGTAGCGGCCGCCCCCCGGGGCAACGAGGCGCTGCACCTCGTGCAGCAGGCGCGCGCCCGCGCTGCTGGCGTCGCCGCCCTCCTCGCCCATGAGCGCGTCCAGCCCGCCCTTGTCCACCACCACGTCGAACGCGCCCCCCTCGTACTGCTCACGCACGGCCAAGTGCGCACGGGAAAAGGGCAGCGGCGAATGGGGGGAGATTGGGACGAGTGGAGGGGGGGGGGGGCGGTTGGGGGTGGGGGTGTGGAGGAAGGGGGTGGATGAAAAGGGGGGAGGCAAGTGGGGGGGGGAGGTTGGGGGCAGGGGAGAGAAGGAGCAGCACGGGCGACTGCGGGCGCTGCTGTGGTGTGTGTGCGAGCGCGTGACAGCACTACAGGCATGGGGTTAGCACACACGGGCAGCACGGCAGTGTGGACATGAAAGGGAGGGTCAACAATTGCCCGTGTCCTCGCCACCACGAACAGCCCTCACTCCTGCTCCACCATCCCACCCCGCCCTCTCACAATCCCCGATACCCCCGCTAAACCCTAGGACTCCCCGACGCCAGCGGCACTTGCGGCGTCCACCTGCGGGCCCCTGCATGCGCCTTCCGTTCTCACCCACGCTCATCTCACGACCCGCCCGCCGCCCCGCGCACGTACAGTGGTGGCGGTCATGTCCATGACATGCCATTTCATGTTCGGCCGCGCCGCGTCATTCTTGCGTTTCATCTCTTCGATGACGACCGTACTGAAGTCGACGCTCGTGATGACAGCGGGCACGCGCCCGCCGGGGGCGAGGGGAAGCGCGACGTGGTCGTGCAGCTGCGCGGACAGCTCCGAGTTGCCGCACCCCACCACCAGGATCTGCAGCGGCGGCGCATTGATTGCGTCGCCGCCTGCGCGGTGCGCAGCGCCGCAGCACTCGGGGCGCAGCAGCAGCGGCTTGAGCTCGTGCCACTCGCCGTACCACTCGAACGCCTTGCCACGGCGCTTTCTGAAGAACCTGTCCCAGTACTCGCGCGACCTGAACTCGTCCGCGCTCGACGGCAGCAGATCCATGGTGCCTCGCGCGGCCAGCACTAGGAATGGAGACAGATGGTGGATGCCAAGTGCGGGGTTTAGTTATTGCCAAGGCGTTAGCTGATTTTTATCAGCAATTTTCCTTCGCTAAATCCTCAGCGCGTGTTGCATAATTAATTTGTTTTCTACGATTCCACTATCTAAGGAATTTTCCTAATTCCTTACTACGGCACTCTATGCGCGTACAATTCCAACTTTCGGAATTCAGGCTCGGTCCGACGACCTCGCCTTCCGAACGTCCCTCGCTTCCCATTCGCGTTTTCCAACCCCAAACCTACACCCGACCTAGCGCGGTCTCGCAACTACGGCCTAGCTAGCCTTTGCTATGTTTGCCCTAGGCCTAATTATTTGCTCAGTGGTTGTAATTGTTGGAAATCAGAGTATAGTATAACGAATACGGTATACCAATGTGCTGTTCGGTTTTAGTGTAGTCCTCTTTATAAGCCTCCAAGTCCTACAATAATTGCCACTGTCAGAGGTCCACTGGTGATCCCCAATTGATTCTAGGGAAGGGTTACAGGCACGCTGGCCTGGGGGGTTATGGGCGCACTGACCCGCCACTTAAACAAGCCCTTTTATCCCAATGGTCTAGTGGTTGGGATTCTGACAACCACAACTATTGGAGCCTAGCATAATTGGAGGGTAAAGGGTACATTTATTGGTTATAACATTTATTGGAAGATACATTTATTGGTACACCATTATTGGTGTAAATGGGTTCGTTCTGGAGGGGTAGTTGGATACATATATACCCTGCTATGTTACTTCTTCATCATCATTGTGTTATCTGTCAGAAGACTAAGCGAGAATGAATGAACTAGACAGGAATGTGGTACAAATATGGCAAACCCTAATTGAGATGTACCCCCAGTAGGCTATGTCAGAATAGTACGCACAAAGTTGAAACAGAAAAGAGGGGTTTCACTAGCAAGCAATGGGATACATATAGCAAACCCTAGTTGGGCTGTACTCACTATAGCGTACCGCACTGCAGACTTGACAAATAACACATTCTGACATACCCCCATAGGCAAAGTAGGGTATGATCAGCACAGCAAGCGGTCGCATAAAAAGTTCACAAGCACAAGCAAAACTAGAGACAGTCACAGAGGATAAGTGAGGAGGAGGAGGGACTGTGAGAGTAGTGGAGATAGGAGGCGACGGATGAAGCCGCAGACACATGGGCAACAGGAGTGGCGCGCACGGGCTACCGGATACAAGCAAAGGTATCCGGACTACTAGAGTCACTGGCTCAGCGGCTAAGACGAGCGGCAGGAGCTACGGACCCACGGGCGACTGGCGCAGCAGGCTCGCTGGGCTACCAGAGCAAAGGTGACCCCCGGACTACTGGCGCTGCTGACGTCACGACGGCTACCTCCGTTCAACCTCCCCCAACTGTCCCACACCCCTTTCACATACCCCTTGCTGCACCCCTAGCTCCACTCCCACAACACCCCCCTAACGCCACTCATCTCCCACACACCCATCCCCCTCAGCAGCAGCTGCAGCAGTGGGAGACGGAGGAGGAGGAGGAGGAGCAGGGGACGGCTCATACACCCGCCACCCCCATACCCCAAACACAGGCGGCGTGTGCGGCGCGGGGCAGATACGCGGGCAGCAGCTGGGGCGGCGTGCGAGCGGAAGCAGGGCGGCGCATGGGTCCTTGGGGCGCTGCGACGGGAGACGGGCAGGGTGGCGCGCAGGCCCCCAGGGCGCCGCGACGGGCGACGGGAGGGGGGGGGGGACGCGTGGGCCCCCAGGGCGCCGCGGCGGGCGATGGGTAGGGCGGCGCGCGGGCCCCCGGGGCGCTTCGACGGGCGACGGGAAAGGGCGGCGCGCGGGCCCTGGGACGCCGCGGCGGGCGACGGGAGGGGATAGTGCGCGGGCCCCCGGGGGCGTCGTGTCGGGCGACAAAACCGCCGCGCCCCCCGAGCGTGCGGCGAGAAGAAAAAAAACGCCACGCGCGCAGGGCACGCGGCAGGCAGAAGACGTCGCGTGCCCGAGGCACGCGACAGGTAGTACAGCAGCAAAAGCAGGTGGTCCCACAGGCTAGGAGCGATCTCGCTCTGATAGCATGTCAGAATCACAAAGTTGAAATAGCAAAGAGGGGTTTCACTAGCAAGCAATGGGATACATATAGCAAACCCTAGTTGGGCTATAGATTACCCCACTGCAGACTAAACAAATAACACATTCTGACACGCTACCCCACTACAGCCTACACAACACAAACATTATAATAGTTTGACACACCCCCACAGGCTAAGTGGGGGAGAACAAGGGGTCGCCAGACCAGTCAAGAAAACCAAAGCAAGCTCAGGATGGATCACGAAGTCACCACACATTCCAAGCACAGGCAAATGGCCACAAGACCAGTTCACATGCAGATTTATAATAGAGCAAACAGTACAATGATTACAACCTTGCAAACAGAGACATGCAGGTTTATGTATCAAAGTACAGGGCGAGATAAAGAGACAAGCAATTGAGAAAACTAGAACGAGAATGAATCAACTATGAATGAAGTGAGTACATATAGGAAACCCTGATTGGGTTGTACCCCCTATGGGATACCCCACTATAGCCTACACAAATATATATAAGCTATAATGTTCTGACACACCCCCATAGGCAAAGTGGGGAAAACAAGGGGTCACAAGACCAGTCAATCAAAGCAAAGCAAAGCTCAGGGTGGATCACAAAGTCACCACACATTCCGAGCACAAGTTCAAAGGCCAGAAGGCCAATTCACATGCAAGATCACATATATAGATATACAAGAGTCTAAGCAAGCAAGAGCAAGAGTATATAAATGTGAAAGTACAAGCAAGGTCAAGAAGTGAGCAAGTGAGGCAAGACAGGCACAAGACCCAGCTGCGTGCAGAAGCGCTGATGATCACAAGACGCAAGTGCCTTGGTGAAGACATCAGCAGTGTTGGCCTCAGAGGCCACGTACGCAAGCCGCAAGTGTCCACGCTGCTGTAGCTCACGAGCAAGAAAGTAGCGGAGAGCAATGTGCTTTGTCCTGTGCTCCAGTCGCTGCTCTCGACACAAGGCCAGCATGGCATTGTTGTCTACGTACAGGACTGGAGGAGAACGAGGCGGCTCTCCAAGGTCGGTCAGCAGGTAGGTGAGCCAGCGAAGCTCCTGGGCAGCCATAGCCCCGGCGTAGATCTCAGCCTCACAACTGGAGCCGAGAACAGAAGACGAGCGGGTAGCCCGCCACGAAACAGAGCCAGAACCAAGACTGAAGGTGTAACCCTGTGACGACCGCTGCGTAGCCTGGTCGTCAGCCCAAGAAGCGTCCGCATGCCCAGTGAGGACCACTGGACTCCGCCCTCCAAGCACTAGCCCCATGCCCGACGTACTGCACAAGTAGCGCAACACCCTCTTCGCTGCAGCCATGTGCTCTGGTCGGTGTCTCCCAGGAGCAACATAGCGTGCGAGAATGCTAAGAGGGTATGCAAGGTCAGGTCGAGTGCAGGTCATCAGGTACATGAGGCAGCCAACAAGCTCTGGATACGGGCCACTCGACTCTACGGACTCATCCGAAGGCAGAGCTGAGAGCGGGTGGCGAGTAGGCAGAGGAGTGGCCTGAGGCGAGGAGTACGTGAAGCCGAAGCGCTGAAGGACCTGCTGCACCATGTGTGACTGAGTCAGGGTAATGGTGCGGCGTGCTCTGTCCCGGGTGATCTGCAAGCCAAGGTAGCTGCGCAGTTCACCCAGGTCAGTGCACGTGTGTCTCTTCTGCAGCTCGGACTTCACGTAGGCGAGTCCAGCAGTGTCAGCTGTGGCAAAGACCAAGTCGTCGACGTACACGAGGATGTAGAACGGCGGCAGAGAGGTGTCGGTGCGCAGAAACAGCGACGAGTCTGCAGTAGAAGGAGCAAACCCAAGTGCCGCCAGCGTAGTCTTCAGTGTGTCGTGCCACTCACGCGGCGCCTGGCAGAGACCGTAGACTGAACGCCGGAGACTCCACTGGGTACCAGGAGGGAAAGACCCAGTGAAGCCAGGTGGGCGGCGCAGCCAGATCTCCTCGTGCAGGCTGCCCTGCAAGAAAGCAGTGCTGAAGTCGAGAGAGTGCAGCTCGTAGTCACGGTGAGAAGCAACGTGCAGCAGTACCCGAAGAGTGGTCATCTTCGGGGTGGGGGAGAAGGTCTGAAAGTAGTCAACTCCCTGCCGCTGACCAAAGCCACGAGCCACGTAACGCGCCTTGAAGACAGGCGGAGAACCCGGCGGCCGCTTCACCCTGAAGATCCACATGCCACTGACGATGTTCGCCCCAGGAGGGGGGACAGCGTTAACGTAGGTGCCTGTCGACTTCCAGGAAGCCATCTCTGCATCCATAGCTGCCTGCCACTGAGAGGAGTAGGGACCCTCTATCGCCTCCGCGTAAGAGCGCGGAGTCGGGATGTCAAGTGCATCCGGGTCTCCCTCAGGGGTAAGCAGTACGGACACGAGATGAGGTGAAGCAGCGGCCAGACACTGGAGCTCCTCCTGCCTGTCCTCAAGGACGTCCGTGCCAAGGGCACACTCACCCCCGACGGACGGAGGACAGGCAGACTCAGACTCAGCGACAAGACTAGCAGCGTAGTCTAGACGACAGCGAGCAGCAAAGTCGACGAGCTCAGTAACAAGGGCAGACGCAGCAGTAGACTCGAAAGAAGGGTCAGTGACGGCAGTAGCAAGGAGACGCGTGACAGTAGGACTGGCAGCACGAAGAGAGTCCGACTCCGGGTCGGCAAGAGCAGGAAGAGAGGAAGCAGGAGGAGAAGGCAAAGGGGCACGCAGAGGAGCAGTAGACGGACGCAGAGACATCCGGTGCGTGCCAGGGACAGGAGGAGGACGCTGACGCGAACCGCGACCACTAGTGCGCGCAGCACGAACAGGCGACGCAGGACGAGACGCAGGCTCACGACGCTCAGTAAGACCTCCAGTCGGACCAGCGTAGGGAGAAGGAGCAGGCAAAGGGGAGGCCG